CAGAAAGTAAGTGCAAAATTTAAATGACTTAAATTTTTTATAGTTGTTAAGAAAATTCCTTTAGTCCACTCTTCTTCGCAACCTTGTTGGAAGACACCGTACTAATCTCTTAGACTAATACTGCACTTGATGCTTACAACTTATACATTCATGTAAAACTTTTACATACAGTGTAAATCGGACAGATCACACTGAAATTTCCTCTCACAACACTCATCTATTACAGTTCTTCAACCTTGTTGATCTACCGTACTTCGATTTACATCTCTTAGACCTAAATAGAAAATTACAATCTTGTTGTAATACACTCAGTTTTTCAACACAAGAGCTTTCTCTTAGAACATCTTAGTGGCTTTTGCTCTCAGAAGTGTTTGATTTGAATTTGCAAAAGTTGTTTGTTAACTTCAAAACTGAGAGTATTTATAAGTTGTTCTTCGAATTATAGTTTTTGAAAGATCTCACGATTCTCGGAATGCCCTCATGCTTCCTACCTGCTTCAAACGACTCTTACAACTTTCGGCTCTATCACTGTTCAAACGTTGTACAAGTACGGATCTGTTAGTCGCATTTAATGAACCCTGTTGTCCGAGGTTGCAATCTTATGTCTGTTGTCATAGACGACTTAGCTCATGTTCCAGATATCTAATGCAAACACTCAGTTGATCGAACACTCTGTTGATAAATCACTTGGCCGTTTGATCAATTGGATGTTTGACACTCAGTTGTTGACATAGCTGATTTACTAAGCTTATCTGTTGAAGTCTGCACTTTGCTTTCTTCATCTTTACTTGGTTGGTAGCTTCTTTACTAATTAGCTGATAGGTCAAACCACGTTGATCAACAATTTCAAACTTTGAGTCTGATACTTGCTTTCTCAATACCCGTCTGCTAAGCACGATACTTTGCTTTCTCAAGCACTCATCTTTTTGAGTATGTAAACACTAAGTTTTCATTACTTAGCTGTTTATATAACTTGGTTGATGACTTGCTCTCTGTTGTCTTCTAAATTAGCTGTTTTGTTATCATCAAAACTCATCATCAGACCAATCCTTATTAACTCATTGAGTCAACTAATTTGACACTCGACTGTTGTTGTTGAGTTAAAAAATTCGTCCAACAAAATACAAATAAATGTAATACACAACTCTAACCAAATAAACCAGATTGCATATTTATTCAAATTATATCCAAAACATATTTTCCGGAGCCACTTTACCGGCAACAACATAATTTTTTTAGATTCATAAATCCTACATGATCATATTTAAATCTAAAGTGAAATTCTTGCATCTTTTCCTTCGTTAGGGAAAGCTTAATTGAAGTTTAAACTAAGCATTTTCGAAGTTATTTCACTTAAGAACACCTTGTATCCACAAGTTAATGCAAAGCCAATTTGTAGTCAAATTTTGAAAACTGCGACCAATGAATTTCTAATTTAGCATATCAACTATAATAGCATATCCACAAGTTTAAAGATCGTTCATACTACGAATTTTATAGATGAATAATCTGTCAAAAATTAATTAATATTGAATCAGCACAAGGTATTGCAAATGTATTCATAACAACCAAGAATATTATGCCAATTTTAAAATATAACAGCAAAATGCTTAAAATTGAGGAAAATAATATTATGCCAACCATCAACTAGATTTCGATAACCCTAAAAAAATAAAATATATGTCTAAATCTCACACCAAACATATATGGAGAAAATATAGTGTAAATCATAACATACCAACTTTCAAATATGCTTCGACTTCATCCTCAAGTCTTGAGTAGAGGACGGCATAAAATATCACATCAGGTCAAGGATGGGCCGTAAAAATACTTTCAGGAAGAAGAATCAAGATGTCGAGATCCGTTAATTGCATATAATTTGGGGAATAAGAATCAAGTGACTATAGAAAAATTGTTTGGCGAAGACGACTTTGGACCCCTCATAATTATTTTTTTACTAAGCCAAAAAGTCATTAAGGTAATCAAACCATAAATCAACCAGCAAAGTGACCTGCTAATGTTACCGTTTATTCAGGTTAAAAAAATTAAAATATTATAAATGATTGGTATTGATTGATAAAAAAAGGGAACATTATCCAAAGTAAACGATTTCTTCTTTCTTGATAGTTATTTACTTTATTAGTGGATAGGAACATACTCTGGATCGAAATCGTGGGAAGTATTTCTTAATCATTTCTACAAACTTAAAGCCCCAATTCAATTTTTTTTTAAAATAAATATCCTGGTGGATAGTTTACAGAATCGCCGTTACTATTCTTTTGTGTTAACTACCGATAGTTCTGATCAACATGGACTATCGGTAGACACGTCCATATGACAATTAATGAACATTTCTAGTATAATATATGGTCCAAATAAGATGAGGGGTATCTGACATATTGCCGAGACTAAAATGACTCAAAAGCAAATGTTAATTTATTTGTGGGGAAATGAGGCAAATGTCTCTAACTCAGACGTTTTGGGTTCGACTAATATGAATATTTCTTTAGTGTAATACAAGTTTTATTAGTTGACACTTTTTGTACTTAATTAGTATAAGATGAATAAATTTGAATAAATTATATAGTAGTTGATATAATGATGTATTGATGACCATTTCTTTTCTTTTTTTTTAAAAAAAAAAAAAGAAAGGAAAGCAAAATTTATAGCAGGGCCGGTCCTGAGTTTTCGGTGGCCCTAAGCGAACTTTAAAAAAGTGGCCCTCGAATTTTTATGTACTTATATTATGTTAATTATCAATACGAATTATTTAAAACAACTTATTAAAAAAAAAATTATTAATTAGAAAAACAATAAACAATAATGAATCATATATAATCTCGCTTTTATAAAAAAAAACACAACGGAAATACGAACACAGTTTTATTAACGTATTAATTTTAGATATAAAGAAACATATTAATATTAAAGTCACGTCACATAACATTCATTAATGATACAAAAATATAGGTATAATTTATTTAAATTTATCGGAAATGATGATTAGATACGCAAGGTCGAACACTAAACTATTTAAATTATGAGATAATCCTATGGATCCGTTGGTCACATGGCTTACAACTCCAAATAAATTTGAAATTGCAATATAAAGATTTATTTTTGTTTGCTTTTTGATTTAGATAATATATATCTTAACTTATGGCCAACTAGTCCAAAAATGAAGATCCGCTAAATTATTTATGAATGTATTGGATCTGATTATCAAAATTTAAGCAATGTTTTTGGGCTTTCCATATTAAAATATGGGCTCCTCAAAACAAATAACAAAATAAAAAGTAAAAGCACAAGACAAGAAAGGTTTCGAACCTATAACCTTTGTGATGAAATGCAAACACTCTACCACTTCAGCTGTATCACATGTTAATAAAATATACATTTACATTTACATTTACATTTCTATTTATATATATATATATATATATATATATATATATGCATGTATATATGTATTTTTTTTCGGAGGCCCTCGCGAGTAGGTGGCCCTAGGCGGCCGCCTATGCGGCCTACCCTTAGGGCCGGCCCTGATTTAAAGCATTATAACAAAAAAAAAAAAAATCTTAAATTTAAGTGCAGAGTATATTCCAAAAAAAAAAGTTAATTCCTGCCCAGATTTTAAAATTAAAATACTAAGTGATTTAGCTAGTGCATGCTGAATATATATACTATTAAACTTTAAGCTGGTCTACATAAAAAACGAGAAAAGGTTACATAATAAAAGAACATTGAAATTTAATGAAGATTTTCTGCTTTACTTCGAGTAGCCTCCCTTTTAGTACTTTTATTCATTTTTTATTTGATTCAGTTAATTGTTTTTCTAAAAACTCTTATATAATTTTGCATTTAGGCTATCAAGTATAGTTTGTGGATGTAGTATCAAACTGTTAGTTTATGTGGCCGGATAATTTAGAGAAAAATAAAAATACAAATCTTATTCTTATTTTGAAAAAATCATAACATAAATAAAGATGCCGATTTTATGTTATTCCCTGAAAATGGTTCAAATGTAGCCCATTCACAGCCCAAACCTAAAAGCTATCAATTAGGGCTGTCAATGGGTTGGACTCGGACTGGATCAGGGCTGATGATCGGATCCGAGTCCGATTTCCATTTCTTCTATCCGGATTCGAAGCTCGGATCTTGTAATTAGCAACAGATCCGACTCCGATGGATATCCCAGATCCGGATAAATTATTCAGAACCGATTAGCACATTTAATAATAATTTTTTTTTTCGTTTTCCTCCAAATCACTTGTAGATTCCACCATCATGAATTAAAAATGTAACATTTTACTTATTTCATAGAAACTATTGCTTGAAAATTGTAAATGATGAAATATGGTGGACAAATATAACGATAAAAATTAAAACAAATGAATAAACAAAAATATAAGTAAAAAATATATAAATTGAGACAAAGAAGAAGAAAACTAAATATTGAGAAATGGAAGAGAAAACATAAATTGAAGGATGAATGATTATGGTTTTGATTTTTCTTATTAAATAGCATAAATTAATATGTTGTAGGCCAAATAATTATCCGGCCAGTCTAAGAACATCTCTCATGCATTTCATTTTAAGATTATTTTTAATATAGTAAAAAAATTTAGTAGAACATAGATAGTTTTTTTTTTTTTTTGATTTAAATACATAATATATAAACAACAAATAGTAATATGTATCAGACACGGATCTGTAACGGATCAGATCAGGCACATCGTATCACTAAACGAACAATTATCCTAATAAATCGAATCGAATTTGGATTGAAATCCGCCCGTTGACAACCCTACTATCAACATTAACAGTAAACAATACAACATATTTGGACTTCCAAAGGACTACTTTAGACCAAACTTAAAAGCGCTAGAAGTCAAGAGCGCTTTATCAATCCGTACAAATGAATCACAGTTTGAAGCCCAAACCAAGAAGGCCTTATATAATATCAAGAGCTAAAATAATGGGGAAAAAAAAGCTAAAAACGGAGATGCGGGGTATCGATCCCCGTACCTCTCGCATGCTAAGCGAGCGCCCTACCATCTGAGATTACCTGAAGTTCAATTGATATAAGAACAAACTAATTTCCTTTTTACATCTTAATTGACTTCCATTGGCCACTCTGAATTATTACAGCAAGATATGCATACATGTTTTGCTGTTTGAATAATAGGTGTGAAAGTGTGTATGTGTAGTGTGTTTCTTATTTACTATTAGTAAGTGACCGTGTGTTTTGGGTAAAAATGGAATGGGATAATCTCGTGGCATTAGGGGTGTAAATGAGCCGAGTAGTATCGAACGACACGTTGTTCAAGCTTGGTTTGAATTTTATCGAGCTTGAAATTTTGTGTTTGAGCTTGGTTTGATTTCTTAACGAACCGAGCTCAAACGAGCTTTTATCGAACGAGCTCGAGCCGAGTATCGAGTAGCTTGGTATTTTACATGTGTTTTTTCAATTTTTAGCTTATCAAGTCGAGCTTCAAAAGTTATCGAACGAGAAATCTTGTTCAAGCTTGTTTGATTTGTTTGACGAACCGAGCTCAAACGAGCTTTTATCGAACGAGCTCGAGCCGAGTATCGAGTAGCTTGATTTGATTTTCAGCCCTACGTGGCATTATGGTTTACTAATTTAATGGTCTTAATAAATTAATGGCTGGACACGTTTTTGTGCTATATAATAGCCTTGCCTACATGGAACTCAGCCACATATGATTAGTCATATATGCTGCTACGTGGGGTGAAGAAATAGGAATAGGAAAAATTAAATTATTGCATGAGTCATGGTGTTATTAATATCTCATTTGAGTGCTATATTTTCTAAACTTTAACGATAGAATATCTCAAGCATATGAAACTTAACACCTAGTCCTAGACTTCTAGATAGGTTGACATTAACTCCACTATTCCGAATACATGATTTATCAAGTCCGATTAAGTTCAATTAAATCATATATTTTTCAAGCTAGGTAATTTAAGTTTCACACACACATGAAGCCTTCAATCTAGCATACTGTAACGGACCACCCGTCGGGAGGCCAAAATGCGCACCCAGGGGACCCGACGGCAAGCCAGACGGACCCGACGGCAGGACACGAGGACCCGACGGGAAGACATGACTTAGTTCCTCCTTTGCCACCCTTGGAGGTTCCAGAAGATTCTAGAAGAATCCACACAAGTCCGGAATGCTCAAGAAGAGGCCGGAAGGGACCGGAAGGGACCGGAAGATTCTATACATGTGTAGGTTCTTCCGGTCCCTTCCGGCCTCTTCTTGAGCATTCCGGACTTGTGTGGATTCTTCTAGAATCTTCTGGAACCTCCAAGGGTGGCAAAGGAGGAACTAAGTCATGTCTTCCCGTCGGGTCCTCGTGTCCTGCCGTCGGGTCCGTCTGGCTTGCCGTCGGGTCCCCTGGGTGCGCATTTTGGCCTCCCGACGGGTGGTCCGTTACAGTATGCTATACATGTGTAGGTTCCACACAAGTATAGAACACGCCGGAAGAGTCTAGAACCGTGTGGAAGACTCATGAAGCTTGTGGAACTCCCTTGTACATAGTAGAGACATCTAGAAGCTTGTACATAGTTCCCTACACATGTATAGAACACGCCGGAAGAACCTACACATGTATAGAACACGCCGGAAGAGTCTAGAACCGTGTGGAAGACTCATGAAGCTTGTGGAACTCCCTTGTACATAGTAGAGACATCTAGAAGCTTGTACATAGTTCTAGTTTTGTAGTATTTTGTAGAAGGGTCTAGAGAATCAATCCTAGCCCTTAGATCAAGTTAATCCTAGCCATCCATTAGGGAATGCTACTAGTATAAATAGGTGGTGCCATTCATTTGTAACATCATCCAAGTCTTGAGCAATATACAAGCATACTAAGTTCTCTAAAAGCTTTCTTACTTTCTTCCCACTTTCACCAACTTACTTAATCAAGCAAGTAGGCTGACTTAGCCGATACCGCAAGGGGCGGAGAAAGATCGCGAGGGGCGTTCGAGGTTAAGTGCCGCACGACACTTGAAAGAGTCAAGTCCGTGACAAGTGGTATCAGAGCCCGGAAGGGCGGGGCATATCGTGGAAAGTTCGCTTATGAAAATCGGAATGGCAACCGACAACATCACCAACTCGGATATCGAGAACCAAGTGGTGGAGGAAACTCCCAACATTGCAGACCGTAGGAGACGGGGCAAGAGCCGGACTCGGGAAGGTACCGTGTGGGAAAGTACCCTCACCGAGGTGGGTGGCCGATTGGAGAAAACCGAGGCTACCGTGGAACAATTGGAGACCCATATGTTCGACCGGTTTGAAGAGTTCGTGGCTACTCGGGAAAAGGTCACCTTGTTGGAGCAAACCGTTAGTGAGCTATTAAGTACCGTGGAGGGCTTGAAGGAGGGGCTCACTATTTGCTGTAAGGCATTGGCTAGTGGGGGCACTAGCTCGGGCGGGGTTACCTTGCGGATGGACCAGCCCAAGATAAAGATGTTCGATGGCAAACGGGATGCCCAAACCATCGATGACTTCTTGTGGCAACTGGAGTTCTACTTCGATAGCAGCAACCTGCGCGACGAACAAGCCAAGGTAAAAACCGCTTCCGTTCATCTATGTAATAATGCTTCTATGTGGTGGCGCAGGAAGCATGCCGATATGGAGAGAGGGACTTGCCATATCGACACTTGGGAAGACTTCAAACGGGAGTTGAAGGCTATTTCTATCTCGAGAATGTCGAATATGAGGCACGAAAGAAACTACGGGAGTTGAAGCATAAGTCATCCATCCCGGAGTACATCAAAGAGTTTACATCGCTTATGCTCCAACTTCCCGACGTGGGCAAGAAGGACCTCTTCTTCTTCTTCATGGACGGGCTACAAAATTGGGCCAAGCAAGAGCTACAAAGATGGAAGGTGGAGACGTTGGACGAAGCCATTACTACCGCCGAGATCCTCACCGAGTTCCAACGTACTACCACCCAACCGAAGGGAAAGAATGACAAGGGTAACTCCGGCAAAGGTGGGGGAGACCTGGAACACAAGAAACCCGTAGCCGACCCCCGGGGCAACCAATCCAGATTTCAGTCGGGATGCCGAGAATACCAAGAACAGAAGAAGGACTTCGTGCCCAGAGGCGGATGCTACGTGTGCAAGGGGCCACACGCAATGAAGGACTGCCCGAAGTTGGGTTCATTATCCGCTATGATAGATCGGGAGTCCACATCTCAACCCGAGGAGGGAGCTGAGCAGATCGGGTCGTTACAACTCCTCAATGCCTTGAAGGCCAAGCCGACAACCAGTACAGCAAGCAAGGGGCTGATGTACGTGGAGGCATTGATCAACGGGAAAGCTACCAAGGCCATGGTAGACACGGGAGCCACTCATAACTTCATGGCCGAGGACGAGGCCCGACGGCTGGGTCTCAATGTCGCAAGAAGTGAAGGATGGATCAAAACCGTGAATGCCGCAACTAAAAGACTTTGTGGTACGGCCAAGAACGTGGACATGGTACTTGGCACATGGAAGGGCCCGGTGGACTTCTCGGTGGCGCCCATGGACGATTTCAAAGTCGTGCTCGGTCTGGACTTCTTACGTAAGGTAAGTGCCCTTCCTATGCCTTCATTTGATTCTATATGCATACTGGACAAGGGAGCCACATGCATGGTGCCGACCACAAGTGGACCAACCAAAGCCGAGGGTAGATAGCTGTCGGCAATGCAACTAGCTAAGGGGGCGAAGAGAGGTGAGCCAACTTACTTAGCTACTTTAAAAATGGATGATGCCGTGGAGGACCCTCGTGAGGACGAGGTCCCCTCGATTATTAAAACTGTCCTTGAGGAGAACAGGGACGTTATGCCAGTGGAGCTACCGAAGGCCTTGCCACCAAGGAGGGAGGTGGACCACAAGATCGAGTTAGAGCCGGGAGCCAAGCCACCCGTCATGGCACCCTACCGACTGGCACCGCCGGAGTTGGAGGAACTCCGAAAACAATTAACCGAGTTGCTGGACACAGGGAGGATACGACCATCCAAAGCCTCGTATGGCGCACCGGTGTTGTTCCAAAAGAAGCATGACGGGTCATTGCGAATGTGTGTGGAATACCGGGCGCTTAATAAGGTAATAATCAAAAACAAGTATCCCATTCCTTTAATTGCCGATTTGTTCGACAGGCTTGGGAGTGCCAAGGTATATACCAAGATGGACGTACAAAAAGGCTACTACCAAGTCCGGATTGCCGAGGGAGACGAACCAAAGACGACGTGCGTGACTCGCTACGGCTCTTTCGAATGGCTGGTCATGCCATTCGGATTGACAAATGCATCGGCAACATTCAGCACCTTGATGAACAAGATTTTTCAGCCGTACTTGGACCGGTTCGTGGTGGTGTACCTGGACGACATTGTGGTGTACAGTCATTCCTTGGAGGAACATGCCGACCACCTACGCACCGTATTCAAAGTACTTCGGGACAATGAATTATACGTAAAGGAGTCCAAGTGTGCATTTGCCAAAGAGGAGGTGCCGTTCTTGGGACATGTCATTGGACATGGCCGGCTGCGTATGGACGAGGCCAAAATAAAAGCCATTATCGAGTGGGAGCCGCCAACCAAGGTAACCGAGCTGCGATCCTTTCTTGGTCTAATTAATTATTATCGTCGGTTCATCTCAGGATACTCCGCACGAGCAGCACCCTTAACGGATCTGCTCAAGAAGAAGAAGGAATGGAACTGGTCCGAGAAGTGTCAGGGGGCATTCGAGGACTTAAAGGCAGCAGTAAGCCAAGAGCTGGTCTTGGCCTTGCCCGATTTCAATAAGGCATTCGAGTTGCACACGGATGCCTCGGACTTTGCTATCGGCGGGGTGCTCATGCATGAAGGACACCCTCTAGCCTTTGAGAGCCGCAAACTCAACGACACGGAGCGACGGTACACCGTGCAAGAGAAAGAGATGACGGCTATCGTACATTGTCTCCGGGTGTGGAGACATTACTTGCTCGGGTCCAAGTTTGTGGTGAAGACCGACAACGTTGCCACTAGCTACTTCCAAACTCAAAAGAAATTATCACCGA